GGAGGAGGCTGGTGCCTGGGAATGAGTGCAGGGAAGTCCCACCCAGGCGCCCCTCTTAGCATTCAGGCCTCCACACACATGTCACGTCCTCCACACACATGACCCCACCCCCCCACCCTGGCCACCACGGCTGACGTCCTCGCTCCAAGGGACTTGATGTATCTCCAAGCTCTTATTGTCAAAAATTTGTTTCCTTGGTTCATGTTTGCCTCTTATGCTCCGTCTCCCAGCACCAGAATGGGAGCTCCGTGGACATGGGGCCTCAAACCCCCAAGGCCTGGAACAGCTCAGCGCCGGGCACAGGTTAGGTGCTAAATGCATGTTTGTTGACTGACTAAATGAACAGATAAGTTACTAAACGAGGGAATGAGTGAGCTCTGGGCCAACCTCGCACAATTGGGCGAGTCGCTTGGTGAAGCTGCTAATAATAACAGCTTCCAGGGTGTGGATGTCCACCAGGGACCAGCAATGCACACCCTAACGTTTGCCCCAAAGGGGGACCTACGTGCTACGGACCTTCTTCTTCTCGCGGTAAAATACGCATTTACCATTTTACAGTGGCACGAAGCGCATTCACCGCGCTGGTCACCCATCACCCCCCTCTGTTCCAGAACATTGTCCGCACCCCAAATGGAGCCCCATACCCATGAAGCAGTCACTCCTATTTGTTCCATCCCTGGCACCTGGCAACCACTCACCGCTTTCTGTCTCTGTGGGCTTCCCTATTCTGGATATTTCTTATGGATGGACCCATACAGCACGTGGTCTTTTGTTTTCGGGATTCACCCACCTTGAGTCAGGTGCCTACAGTACTTCATTCCTTTGTAGGACTGAGGAATACTCCACTGTATGGACACACCCCAGTTTGCCCATCCATTCATCAGTTGGTGGACTTTCGCTTTGCTTCCATGTTTTGGCCATTGTAAGTAGTGCTGCTGTGAATATTCATATGCAAGCTTTTGTTTGAATACCTGTCTTCAGTTTGTTTGGGTATCTACCTAGCAGTGGAATTGCCGGGTCACAGGGTGACCACGTTTGACTTCCTGAGGAGCTGCCAGACTGTTTTCCACAGTGGCCGCGCCGTTCCACATTCCTCCCAGCGGTGTGTGAGGGTTGCAGTGTCTCCACACCCTGGCCACATGTGTCATTTGAATCGGGTTGTTTGCCTTTTGGTTGTTGGGTTGTAAGAACTCTTTATATATTCTGGATCCTAGACTCTTTTCTGATACATGATTTGCAAATGTTTTCTCCCATTCTATGGACTGTCTTCTCACTCTCTCGATCATGTCCTTTGATGTACAAAAAAAACACCTTTGAGTTTGATGAATTCCAATTTATCTAGTTTTTTTCTTTTCTTTTTTCCGTATGCCTTTGGTGTCATATTTCAGAAACCATTGCCAAATCCTAAGTCATGAAGATTTAACTCTGTGTTTTCTTCTAAGAGTTTTATGGTATTAAGACTTATATTTAGGTCTTTGATCCATAATGAGTTAATTTTTGTGTATGGTGTAAGATAAGAGTCCAACTGTATTCTTTCACATGTGGGTGTTGTGGTAGTCGCTTTAATTCATAAGTGAGAACATAGAGGCCAAGAAAGGGTAAATAACTTGTCCCAATGTCACACGGCCATTGGGAAGTAGAACTGGAATTCACCACCAAGTCCCGGGCTGGTCCCCTTTTCCTCACACCCAAATGCCCTCTGTGATATCCCTGTACTATTTTGTGAGCAGGGACTGTGGAAAGCACAGACCTAAGAAATAAGGCACGCATTCTAATCTGGCTCCGGGCAAGTTCATCCATGTCCCTTGACCTCAGTTTCCCCCTCTCTACAATGGGTGGCTGGTCTCTAAGGGCCTTTCCTGCTCAGACTGCTAGAGCCCTGAGAGCTTCATGCCCCATTGCCCTCATTTCCCTGCTCAGAGGTGCTTTCCTGGAAGGAGCTCCACCCTGGGCCTCAGCCAGCCTCTGGAAAACTTCCCCAGCATCCCCCGGAAGAGGCCCGCTGCTTGGGGCTGTGGAAAATGCAAGGGGAGCAAATGTGAGAAAGGCCTTCTCCGCATGCTGACAGTTTCCTTCACAAGTATCACAATGAAGCTACTTGAGAATCAGCTTGCAAAGCACCTGGCTGTAAATATCCCTCTCACACCCTCCTCAACCAGAAAGTTTGGCAAACTTTTTCTAAAAAAAGGGTCAGGCGGTAAATATGTTTGACTTTGCAAGCCCCACGGTCTCTGTCAGAACTACTCAGCTCTGTGCTATAGCACAAAGATGATGCTTAGGTGAGGGGGGATCACTGTGTTCCAGTAAAACTTTATTTATGCACCGTGAGATTTGAATTTCATGTCATTTTCATGTGAAAGAAAATATTATTTTTCTTTTGAATTTTTCCAGTTTTTAAAATCTAAAACCCTGGGCGCCTGGGTAGCTCAGTCGGTTAAGCATCCGACTCTTGATTTCTGCTCAGTTCATGATCTCACAGTCATGGGATTGAGCCCTTGCTTTGGGCTCTGCACTGACTGTGGAGCCTGCTTGGGGTTCTCTCTCACTCTCCCTCCGCCTTCCCTGGCTCATGCACGCACTGTCTCTCGCTGTCTCTCAAAATAAAGAAATAAGCATTTTAAAAATAAATAAAATAAAATGTAAAACCAATATTATATCATAGCTCGCAAGTCATACTAAACAGATGGTGGGCTAGGCTACATTTGCTTTAACCTTTCCTTTTTTTTTTTTCATTTTAAATATTTTTTCTTAGTATAGGAGAAGTAGATATAAAATAATTATACGTTAGTGACATGCAAGTAAAGTAAACTTGGAATCATCTATAATTTCAACATACAGCTATAACTATTTATAGTAATGGGCATTTATTTTTTCTACTTCTCTGTCTGTCCATACTGGTGCTCTCCAATGTGCTAGCCAGTAGCCACATATGACTATAGACCTGAAACAAAAATTAGATAAAATGTCCATTTCAGTTTCTCCATCAACCAGCACACATGAAGACTTCAATACCTATGTCCAGCTAGTGGCTACCATGTTGGACAGCACAGACACAACATTTCTACCCATAACAGAAGGTTCTGTTGGATAGCACTGATCTATCCACATCTATTTATGTAGACTTAGCAAATACAGGATAATACTTCATTGGTGAATATCTTTGTTCACTTAATATTTTGAGATGGCATTTTCATACCATTCAAATACTCAATACTTATGTTTTATCAGAGGTATTCTGTTCATGCAACGGATACTCCGTTAGAGTCTTTATAGCTGTACATTCGTTTCCAGTTTTTTGCCACAATAAACAAAATGATAGTAAACCGCTTTATCACTAAGCCTTTGTACCATTTGTTGTTTAGGATAAACTCATGGGGGTTTAATTTCTTGGTCAAAGAGTAAGTCCATTTGAAAAATGTTTTTAATGGAAATACCCAGTTTCTCCCCAAGAAGGCTTTGATCGTTTATAGTCCCATCAGCAATTCATGAGATTGGCTACTTCCTTGAAACCCGCACAAATAATAGTGGTTATGATAATGAAAGTTAGGCCATTTTGGTAGATGAAATTTTTCTGTCTCTAACTTTAACTTGCCTTTCTTTGACAAGCTTTATTTCCTCCCATGTTTATTGGCCATTTTATTTCTTTGGGTGAGTTAGGGGCAATAAAGCACATTATCTGCATGGCTTAGGTTCTAAGGAAAAATTGCTGGATTTATAACCCAGGCCTCACAAAGTTCTGCAAGCAAGGTGGCAGGATTAATATACCAAACAGATTGGCAAACCTCTCTTAACTTCAGCAGAACCTGAGATCAATGTTCTGTCTGTTCTTTTGAATGATTCTTATTTATTGTTTCTTTTTGGTCCCTGTGGTCATAGACCATACTAGAGGCCAGGTAGGGGTTTCTTGGTTGTTTTTTATTTACTTGGTTGTTTGTTTTATATTTATCTTAGCTCCTTAATTTCTAGGAACACAGTCTTCCTTGCCTAACCAGAGATAGGGCAGCTTCGATTGCTGGAAGGCAGACAGGAGGGACCTCAGGTTTCTGTAAGATACCAGCAGACTAGGGAAGTACTTATTGACCAGGATGGGTAGGGAAAACCAAGCTGTATTCTTTCTTGGCCTTTTAGGGTCTGGAATTTCCACTCAATCATCATGAGCACTCGGAGATCTCATTTTGTTCTGATGGGCGGTTTCTGCGTCTTTGACTCTACCACCGAATGAACGAGTGAAAGAAAGAATGAGTGAATGAATGAGTGAATGAATGAATCAATCCTCTTTCCAAATACCTTTAGAAACCTACCGGGCAGTCATTCACACGTTAGTATTACCTAGCTTTCATATGGCGTTTTAATTTGTGTAAGAGCACCTTCATCACCTCTACAGTCTCATTTACAGCCTTGAAGGAGGTACTACCTCACTGTCTTCGTTTACTGTTGAGGAAATGGGGGTCGGATAGGTGGGGTGGCGGCCGGGGGCTGACCGGGGCGGGGGGGGGGCCCAGAGTGCGCACTGCCAGGCCGAGAGGAGCAGGGCGTCTTACGGATCTGACTCCGGATGCAGGGTTCCAGAGCCAGGGCGCGGGGGGGGGGGGGGGGCAGGTACACTCACCCACAGACCCCTGGACGCAGGGAAAGGGACAGGAGGTAATTAAGGTCTCGGCTAAATCAACCTATCGAGCCGCCCCCTTATAGAAACGCGCCCTCCACCCACCCCACCCCCCACTCGGTAGGCTCCCCTCCGGCCTGGTGGGGTTCCTCAGCCTCCTCCTCCGCAGTCCCGGCCCTGGCTCCCGGCCCTCGGGGTCCCTCCTCCAGGCCCCCGCCCCGCCCCCGCCCCCGCCCCCGAAGGCCGGACTCTGCCCCCGCCTTGCCTTCCCCCTCCCCCCCGGGGGCGGTGGCCCGTGGCGGGCGCGCTTATTGGCTGCGGCGCGAGCGAGGGCCGGGGCCGGCAGCGCTGATTGGCCAGCGCGGCTCGGCGGAGCCAGGAAACCCGGCGAGTCGCTGGGGGAAGTGGGGCAGACCCGACGCACCCGGAGCCCGGAGCGCAGGAGCCTCAGGTCGGCGCCCGCACGTCGGAGTCCGCAGACCGGAGCCCGCAGACCGGAGCCGGGGCCTGGAGGTAAGGGCCGGCGCCGGGTCGCGTGGGGAGGCCCGTCCACCGAGATGGCCTTGCCCCCAGGGAGCAAAGACGGGGCGTCTTCTCCCAGAAACGGGGCCCTCATCCTCCCGAGACGCGGGTCCCCTCCCTCTAAAAACAGGGGGTCTCTCACCTCCCAGAGAGCAAAATAGCTTCCAGTTGCCATCAGAAACGAGCTCTTCCTCCGGGCCCCAGGCTTCCCCTCCCCGACTTACCCCCTTGGAATGGAATGTGCACCCCCCCGAAAGTGGGGTCCTGCCTCCACGCATAACTAGGGCCCCTCTCATCTCTTCGGGGACGGATGCACCTTCCGCCTCCCTTGGAAACTAAGTTTGGATCTCTTCTTCCACCCTCGCTTCGGAATGATGAGGGTCTTCTCAGCTGGTAGATAAGAGGACCCTCCCTCCGTGGAAAATGAACCCCCTCCAAATGTCCTGGGAAAGAAGCCCCTCCTTAAGACAAGGAAATCCGAGGGCAGAGACTCAGCATGTCGGCCTCACACCCAACAGGGACCGCCCTGCGTACCCCACCACCAAACTGGACTCTGAGATTTGCTTTGGGATGTGGAGGGTTCCCTCCCCCTCCCCCAAGGGGCCCATGACCCCCCTTCCCACCCATGACAAAGACACAGTTGCCACACACACCACCACAGTACAGGCATTTTGGGGGAGGTACCCTCTCCCTCCATCAGATGCAAGGCCAGGGCCTTTCATACTCAGAAGCAGGACAAGGGGCTGGCCACCCATCTGGGCCAAGCCACCCACCTGACTCCATCTCCCTCCAACCCTTTCAAGCCAATCCCCTCTCATTAACTCCCTGTACCCACTCTCCCTGCCTCTCCCAAACCTAGTCCTTCCCCGACTGTACCCCCACACCTCACTGCCCCTCTTGTTTCCATCCCACCTCCCCTCTCCCACCCTGGCTAGAGATAGGACCAGAGGATATTTAGTAAGAACGAAACCCTTAAAGCCGGGACCCTGAGCCTAGGGGCCTTTCTAGTACCCTCTAGACTCTGACAACAGAGATGGCCCCCAAGGCAGCAAGACCCCCCCGGGACCCCCCAGCCCCCACACAAAGGGCTGGTGTTCAGGATACTCTCCCCTGAGGCAGTCCAGGCTCCCCAGAGAAGGGAGTGTCAGATGCAGAGAAGGGGTCCCAGCTTGCTCCCCGGGGCCCCCCTCCCCCCTAGCTCCAGTGGGCACTGATCAGTGGAATTCCCGGCACTTGGCCAGAGGAGGTAAATGCTGCACTTGGGCTGGAGACATTGTTGCCATTCTTGGGCCAAGGGTGAGGATGTTGGTGACTTGAGCGGCTGGAAACAGCTCTTCTCTGGGAGGCCAGGGTGGAGGACAGGAAAGAGAAAGGCAAGGAGGCTTGCCTTACTCTTTGGAGCTGCATGCGGGATATGGGGTATGGAGAAACGTGTGCTCTGGATGCCCAAAGAGGTCAGCCCTGGGGAGAGGCAGGCCTGGATCCCCAAACCCCAAAGGACTTCTTGATGAAAGATCTGCTCCCTCACTTGACATTTGAGCAAACAGAGGCATAAAGAGGGGAAGACCCTGGCTCAAGGTCATCCGGCCAGTGGGTGGGAAAGCCGGCCATAGTCCCTCCAGGGGTTGTGGGGTGCTGGGGTCCAGGACAGGGGCTCAGGGCCTCACATTTAGCGCTGGGCCTCCTGGCATTGACCCCTCCGCTTGTCAGAGGAGACGCAGAGGCTCTGAGAATGTCATGCAGCTGGGAAGGGGCAGAGCTGGAACTCAGCATTCCCCCACCCCCACAGGCCACCCTGTAGAAGCCATTCCTGGGGGTCTGCGCTTCAATGCTCACCCCGTGTGATCTTGGTACTGAGCCCACCCTGCAGCGGTCTGCTGTCCCTCTCAGAGCATGGCTGCTTTTCCTGCCACCGGATGGGGCAGAAACTGAAACTGGCAGCAGCCCCTGTGAGCCACCCAGTGGGGCCACAGCCACCAGGTCCCTGCAAATGGGGGGGAGCATCTTGAGGTGGGCCTCCAGCTAAGGGGTTGGCTATTATGCTCCCATTTAGAGCAGGGAGCCAGGTACAAGGTGCCAAGGTGAAAGTTCAGGGCATGAAGGGGAACTGGCATGCATAGAGGTCAAGAGATTGGCCTCTGTACCCCTCTTATCTGGGCCTAGAACCCATATCTGCCCCTTGGGGTGGGATCTTGAGCAGATTATTAATCTTATATCTGCATAAAATGAGTTAATCCTCATAATGTGCATAGCTGCTACTACAAATGGGTGGAAGCAACAACTGTGATTTCAGGGGCAAAGTCATAAAACCTTTGTGTTTTAGGACAGCAGACCATAAAGTCAGGTGCGGCAGAGAGTTGACTCCTGCCTCCTGCTGGTGGGGGAAACTTGGGCAAGTCGTTCTCTCTCTGAGCCTCAGTTTCCTTATTTCTGAATGAGGTGGTTGGGGGGGTAGGCATCAGGCGAGAAGGCAGAGCAGAGCAGCCCTTCTCATGTCGGCAGTGCTGACCCTGGGGGTGGAATAATTCTCGGTATTGGGGCCATCCTGTGCACTGAGGGGGTTTAGCATCATTCTTACCCCCCCCCCCCGCCCCCAGCTACTAGATGCTGGTAGAAACCTCTCTAGTTGTGCCAAATGAAGTGTCTCCAAGCACTGCCAGATGCCCACTGGGGGGCAGAATCATGCCCACCCCTCCCGCTGCCACATGGGTCTTGCATACCCTTGATGCTTGACTTAAGACAGATTCCTTCTGGGGCGCCTGGGTGGCTTAGTTGGTTGAGCGTCTGACTTTAGCTTGGATCATCTCGCGGTTCATGGGTTCGAGCCCCACATCCGGCTCTGTGCTGACTGCCGGCTCGGAGCCTGGAGCCTGTTTCAGTCTGTGACTCCCTCTCTCTCTCTGATCCTCCCCTGCTCACGCTGTCTGTCTCTCTCTCTCCTAGAAATAAATAAAAACATTAAAAAAAAAAAAAAAAGAAGACAGATTCCTTCTCCTTGCTCGCTGGGCTCCTTGCTCTGCCTTCTGCACGATGGAGGGGGTGGTGTCCAGCCACTGAGCTTCCCAGTGTTAATGACAATCTCAGTTCTTCACATTAAATAATACTTTGCAGGGGCGTCTGGGGGGCTCAGTCGGTTGAGTGTCCGACTTTGGCTCAGGTCATGATCTCACGGTTCACGAGTTTGAGCCCCGCATCGGGCTCTGTGCTGACAGCTCAGAGCCTGGAGCCTGCTTCGGATTCTGTGTTTCCCTCTTTCTCTGCCCCTTTCCCACTCGCTCTCTCTCTGTCTCAAAAAAAAATAAACATTAAAAAATTTTTAAACAGCACTTTGCTACCTCCAGAGCACCTTCATGTGCATTGCTCTAGGCCTCCCATTGTACAGATGAGCAAAACCAAGTCTCACCGAGGTTAAACGGCTTGTCTAAGGGCATTACTCCCTTCCCCTAGAGGTCAAAGAAATGTTCGTGCCAGCAACAATTTCAGAAATAACCTGGTTCTGGACCCTTCTTTGGAAGGTCGTCTGGCGGTCTCTTCCAGAACCCAAACTGCATGCCCTTTGGCCCAGCCCCCCTTCTTCTAGAAACATTCAGTCGTGCACACAGGTAGACGGACACAAGAATAAAAATGAGCAAAGCGCAGCACACAGAGGTTGACAGACCTGCTCTGGGTCTCAGCCAGGAAATGTGGGCTTGGGACTCCATATTGAAGCCCAGGCTGGGGCCCTTTGCCTGTACCCTGCCGCTAGAGGATCGCACCCCCCCCCCCCCCCCCCCCGTCCCCAGGGGGAGACACATTCCTGCCTGGACTCATCCCTCCCTCTGGGGAAAGTGCTCACACCAGCACTTCCAGCTGCTGAAATTCAGAATTCTGGAGCCTCAGTGTTCTGGAGACAGGAATCTGAGGCCTTCCCTCCCCAGGCCCCAGACCCCAGGCTGAATCTCTAGGGCGGGGGGTGGGGGTGGGGTGTTGGGGAAAACTCCTAAAAACCCCAGTGGGCCCTTGGGTTGGACTGAATGCATCTGGATTGGGTTCCTACCAGCACGATGGCCTCAGGCTGTGACCAGTGGACCCCTTAGGATTTCATTTCCCCATCTTTGGCCTTTTCTGCTTCTAAGAACATGTATGTACAAGTTTTGGTTTAGACAAGTTTTGGTTTCAGTTCTTTTGGCTATCGGCCCCTGAGTGAACTGCTCAGTCATATGATCAGTCACATGGAAATTCTTCGTTTAACCTTTGGAGGAACTGTGAGGAACTTTACTGTTCACACCAGCAGTGTGCAAGGGGTCCAGTTCTTCCACATCCTTACCAACGCTTGTTGTTTTCCAATTATTATTATTATTACTATTATCATCACTATTACCGCCGTTCCAGCAGGTGTGAAGCGATACCTCATTGGGGTTTTGATTTGCATTTCCCTAATGGCTAAGGATGTGCTTGTTGACCATTTGTAGATTTTTCTCTGGAGAAATGCCTATTCAAGTCCCTTGCTCATTTTTGAACTGAGTTGTCTTTTTGTGGTTGAGTTTTAAGAGCACGTTACAGACATGAATGGATTTTTGTGTTGCCATTTTTCCTCTTGCATGGGAACATCTGCTCAGCTCCTGTGGGTGGGGCACCGTCTTGTGACCATGGGACATCCAGGTGCCTACGATACAGTTACTGCTCACGAGGGCTCACAATCTAGAGCAAAGCTTCTCAACCTCAACACTATTAACTTTCCTGGGGTGGGGTGGGGGGCCTGTTCTGTGTGTGGTAGGATGCTTAGTGTCATCTCTGGCCTCTAACCCACTAGATGCTAGTAGCACTTCCACCCCCAGTGTGACAACCAAAATTGTCTCTGGACATTGCCAAATGTCTCATGGGGACCAACTTGTTCTCCCTGGTTGAGAATCACCGGGTTAGAGGCTAAGACACGTCTGTATATCTGCAATTTGAGTCATAACTCTTGTGCCTTTTCATGGTGGGCATTTCAGGACATGCTTGCTGGATGT